GCGGCAACCTTCGTCATCCTCCGTCGATCGCGTCGCGTTTCCACGGGGCCCTCGTTCTCGCCGGAACAAAGGCCCTCCGCGCGCGTTCTGACTCGGCGATTTATCTTCGCCCACGACGGAATGTATCTCTAATTTCTCGCGCGCGGGCGCTGGCGATTCGATCGAATTTTTCCCGCGCGAATTCAAAGTCCGGACGATAAGGGATAGAGTAGCGGGTACGCGGACACGGTCTATCTAAATCATTCGATGTAACGCGCGTCGGACAGATAACTTCGCAGAACGAACGTAGAACATTTCCCGACGGAACAGATGGCAATGATTGCTGCTAATGGTACCCATCAATTCGCGGCGTGCTCGAGCACTTAGAAGCCGCTGCATGTACACATGGAAGGAACCACGGTAAGATTCGTGACATTGAAATACGACAGAAGTGTGCAATTCTGTTTTAATTTCTCGTGGGAAGGCGTGGAGGAAACTTGACAACTGTGTTCCTTCTATATTTACAAACAAGAATCGGAGAGCCCTTAATTTCTCGTGGGAAACCGACGAGGAACTCGACGACTCGGATTTTTTCAAGATGCAACGCGCGGAAATTACCTAATTCCTGGTTCTTGTCGCGTCCTATACTTAATTTCGAGCGAAATTCTTTCGAGATGCTTCCCCCTTCAACAGCGACGCACATAAATCACAAAGATACGAAATACAATTAGTTTCCTGTCTACGATGTCTCGCTGACCACACCCCTCCGGGACCAGGGCAAAACATCCCGCGAACAATAATTGTAATACGAGTTTGCACGACACGAATATCTTGTCCTTGCATACGAACGACCGCGACCCTTCTGTAGCCGTTCGAGATTTAAGCTACTTTTTCAAAGGAACCGTCAAACCGTGCACGATACAGACGCGCACGCCCGTACAATAGCACCCCGTGACTCGAAGGGGATGCGTGCATGTCGTCATCCATCATCCTGCATATGTTGCCCCGTCCGACGAACCCTTCCGCGTGCGATACAGGTCTACAAGGGCGAAAAAAGTTCCGGGGGTTAACGGTCACAGCTGCACAACGACGGAAAAAAAAGCTTTCTCGATGCTTTCACCGAAAGCTTTCCCTAACCGACTCCGCGGATAGAAAAAAAACCCATTATTTTCGGCACCAAATATAAATATACCAATACTGTCGCGCAACGGAGAGGTACAGAATAGAATTAAAAGAATCGTTTTAATCTGAATTATTACATACTTTGGGAATTGTAATTAGAAACAAGAGAAAATAAAGCTCGACTAGAAATAAGCACTCGATTCAAGTTTCATTCGTGATAACGCAAATTGAATTCAGGAAATCTACGAATAAACTTTAAATTACAGGTAGAAATTTTGATGGAAAAAAAGGATATTTTTCTATTTTTAGAAACCACAAAATTGCATTTGGTAAAGTGCAAAGGGTTAAAGGCTACGAAACGTAGAATCGTATTAGAGATTTTGGAGATTTTAATTTTAAACAATTTTACTAGTCAGTATTATTTTGACAAAAACAGTTCCTACGGATCGATAGTAGGACGAGGGCAAAATACCGAAATGGAGAAACAATATTATTTTTCTGTGCGAGCGAACCCTTCCTCCGTGGAGAGTTGGTTGGATACAAAATCTATACGGGTCACGTGCCGGCACACGTGACCTGTCCACGCGCGATGCATTCGAACGCACGCGTAAGCGCATCCACGCAAACATGTAACTGTGCAAGTGCATATTCGCCGGTCGCAAGTAGATCTATGCCCGCGCAACGCCGCGGGGACGCTCGTGTATCTTTTACGGTACGTATAAATACATAAGTGTACGCGCGCGTACGTGATCGTACGGGGGATGATTTCCGGTCTATTGTGCAGGATCCTTCATCCGTTAGCGGCAGCTTTAACTCACCATATTGTCAAGTGGCACTGGCCAAATTTGTTATTGTATTGGATTATGGTCATTTTATGCGGAGGCTTCGGTGAGCGATGAAATATGTACCCCACGACTGCGGCCAACTATTATCTAGATATTCTTTACGAGCGTTTCAGGATCCTATGAATTTCTAAGTGCAACGAAAAACTCCATTATCCGTACATCCATCATCCGCACTCGTGTAAAAATAAAACATTATTGTTATTGACTGTGATGTCATTTTAATTTAATATTTTATTTGTTATTATCCTGTCTCGAACGAATCAGATTTTAGTTCTTGCAACCGTGTTTATGTAATCGATTTATACCGATCTTCGGACATCTTTATAAATATCTCCTTATATTCTTACTTCATAATAGATAAATTATCTTGGCAATTCATTTGACACTTCATTCCTCTTTCGTGACTGGAGCCTCTACAATGGAGGATTTTTTCGTAATGTCCTTAAAAGCAATCTTTAACGTCCATTTCCTCGTAGACAGCTATAGATTTAACACGCGCATTGAAAAATTAACAGCTTACTGTTATTAGTATCCATCAAATTATACGCACGCGGGATTGCCTCGTGGAAGCTTGTAACGTGAAATTAGAATTTTTCATATTCGCAGGGAGATGAATTAGTCCTCGCGTGAGGCTACTTCGTAGGTGGTGATCGAGAGATAAGAGAATGATCAAAGAGATGAAATAAGAGTAAATGTAAGTAAAAATTCCGAGGTCACCAACGCATCTCGGATGAGCAATTAAAGCTAATATCTTAAAAGTCGATTTCCGTATCGTTCTCGATGCGCGTCAACTAACAATTAGATATTTACAGACACAGGAAGAAAACCTATTATTATACGAAAGATATCTCTTGTTCGGACTAGAAATGCAGATCTCAATTATTACTATTTCCCAACCACTGCAATGGAACTCAATTTCCAAGAGGTACAGGCTTAATAATGGAACAACGGATGATCTTATATGGAATCTTGTTCACACGATACGATTTTTTAACCGATTCGAGTCGCTTGGTTCGCAAGAAAATTTATTCCGTAGCGAGGGAAGGTTTCGAGAAATTGGACGACGATGACAATAACGTTTGTGTTATTTTCTCGGTAAAACGACAAAATCGTGAAAACTGTAAAGGTTCGACGACTTTAAATAAAATACCTGAGCAGGAAACGGTAATAAATTTGTATAGGTTTGAAACAAAATGTAGAAAACGACACGATGCTAAAAAAATTCATAAACAAGACTGATATTCCAGAAATAAAAAAGAAGATATACTTCGATGTTTTCACGGTTGTGTAGTTTACGGTGGTAAGGCTATAAATAATCGTAAAGGACGACGGAAACGTTGGAATATTTCTCCGATCGAGGGAACGTGTTTTTCCACCGGGTACTACCGATTCCCCAAAATTTTTCGAAACCGCCACCATTTGCATAACCGTGGGCAGGGCAAGGAAGAGGGTCACGGTGAATCAACCGGAGGTGTCGAGCTGACTGATACAAAAGTGAAACCTACGAGGGTTCGAGATAAAGGTAATTTAGATGCGTCGCTGGGTCACGACTGGCGACTATTACAGCTATTACCGGATCCCGGCCCATCTCGTTCCATCTCATTCCGTACCATCCCACGCCATTCTGTTGGTATTACGTTCTATCGATGCGAGTCCGAGCGTCATTTCGCGCGATCGAATCGTGCGGTCAATCGCGATCGGAGACACATCGATTCCCCCTCGATAAAAAAAAAAGAAAAAGACAATTATTGGCAAACTGATCCCGCTACGTTAACCTACTTTTACCTTCGAGTTCCGTCTATTGTTTAAATGTAACAGTTGCGAGACGCGAGCGTACAAGGCGATCCCAAACGCAACTCCTTCGTGCGATTATTTTCGAAATTAATTTCAGAGTTAAATGTTTCGGATACTCTTGAGAAACTCAAATTTTTAGAATTGTCGTAATTGCTGTCTGACCTCGAATATCAGAAAAATCGCCTTATACATGCACCAAAGTATCACAGTTATATAAGGTGATTGAACTAACAGTACCCGCGAGAGGAAGAAAAGGTGTTCTTAAAATGGTAGCCAAAAGGCACCTGATAAAGTGTACCAAGTCCTTAAACAGACCGTTCGAAAAACCCACCGACTAACAAAGTGGCATTTTTGCATCGAAGCACAATTACGCTGTGGATTTTATCCTGGCCTCGTTGCGCCGCGATTCGATACAGCGACCGTTGGAAGAAAGCACAAGACTAATTTTCCAATTATCCTTTGGCGCTCACGTATCGATTACGAGGACGTAGAGCCGGTGCAATCCGTTACAACGTGGTCAAACAAGGAGAATGTCCACCGATATTCACATTGAGGGAGTCTTCAACTGCAAACCGCCAAATAATTCGATTTTTTTTTACATTTTCTTAAAGGATATAGTTTTGGAAATACAAGCAATGATGTTTATTATCTGTAAAAGAGCCTCGTTTCTTGTATCGATCTGCGTTAGGGATACTTGCAACGAAATCATTATTAAAGTGGTCTTACACTACCTGCTCTGTACTGCCACCAATTTTGGCTATTTCTCATTGTAAAAATTTGTAAACATCATTGAAAGAGTGACAAATATACATGAAAAACACCAATACAAGAAGTTGTATAGTTTCTTCATAAAAAAATACCAAAAAAAGAAAAAGGGCGTTTTACAGTAGAAGACCCCCTTAAGAAAATCGATTAAATTTGAATGCTCCTAAATGTATCTTTGAATTTTCTTGAATCAACACCGTTTTCCTCGTATTTTCTCCGTTTCTCGTACTTTTCGCGTGGGAGGCGGCGAGGCGTCCGGTTCTCCCGCCTCCGATTTCTTTCTCCTTCCATTAACCCTTTCGATACACAGTGTATTTTGCTTCGCTCTGATCGTCGAGACGACGAACAACGACTGCGTTTGGAGCAACTGAACCCGGTCCGCTCGGCGATCGCGTGACACGCACGTCAAACGATGCCTACGCCGTGAAGCGGCAGAGGCCAGGATACGACAACGCGTAATTGCAATAATGAGAATGATGGAATGTATGCACTCACTTGCAATGCGACTCGCCGCGTGGCGATGACACGCACACTCCTCCGTTTTTGCAGGGACTCGGCGAACACGACACAAAACCTGAAACAGTAAAAGAAACGTAACGGATTAATTACAGGTGAACCGATAAATTAAAGCTTTTTACCGGGCGACCATTCAACGATAACCTCGGCCGTAGTTCTCTCGATCGTCTGCTCCGCGATCGGATGCAAGCATGCCTTGGTTCGCAATTATAGAATAATTACTTTTAACATCCTTTAAAATTGTTTAGTCAATTTTATGGGAATTTTAAGAGTAGTAATTTATTTGTTAAATTGAATTATTCTCATCCTATCGTCGTTTTTGCCTTCGCTCGTCTTTGCATTTTTTTAGCTTCTGGAAGATATACAGGATGTCCTGTTTGAAATTGTAAAGAACAACAAAATGTTTCAAACAAATGTTGTTGAAAACGCGTGTCAGTTTCTTTTCTTTAAATCATTTGTCTTCGAGATTTTTTACAATGAGACTCCCTGTATATTATATTAAAATATTCGTTTTAGACAGTCGATCAAAGACACCATTGATAATAATGAACAGACCGCGGATCTTTGTGCAAATAAAATGAGAGCTTTGTAGACTTGTTTCCTATCTTACGTATTTTTTATATTTTTGCATATTAAGTTCATTCTGCAATTTTCTGAGAATTAAAATTTCCCATAAATACATAAACATCCAAAGTCTAATGAAGAATCGACTTCTGAGCAACAAGGAAGCAAAGTCAGTTCCCTCTCAACTAATATCTCCTCTCGATAGCAAGATAGAAGGCTCGTCGAAAACGTATCGTTTCCGCTCCGCGGGCGAAACAGTTGAAAAGAAGAGGTGCAACCTGACGGGTTCGTTTATCGTGCCAGCAATTAAAGCCCAGTTAGAGTACACTGGAGGCGGGTTACGGTGAATCCGCGGGGGAACCTTTGACACGCCGTGCAAAGTGAACTTTCGTGTATCCCCCCTTGAAGAATACGGGAGAGATAAGGATAGAACGAGGGACAGAAAATGGAGGCACCTTTAAGGGAGTGAAAATATCGGAGACCCTTACCCGCTTCGGGTGTAAACGCGACCGAACCAGAGGTGGGGATCGGCGAAACTACCCGCGCACATCCTGCTCGACCATTGCCGGAACTCTGCCTTGAATAATTTCACACGAGTCCAACGCCTGCACGTGCGTCACTTGCACGTGCAAGACAGAGAAAAACAACGGACCTTTAATATAAAACCATTTGTTTTCCTCCTCGTTCCTCATTCCTCTGTTATAATCTTTCCCTAATTTTCATTTTGAGTCCATTCAGAATCTCATTTATACCATAAATCTTTTCTCTATTTACCTTCTTAAAGATCAATGAATTATAAGAATTCCTAGCAAGAGGCAATTTATTTAATACCTACAACTCACATGGATTAATATGTTATCATTCAGAAAATAGAAGATCTAGTTAATATAAGAGACTATAAAACTGTTGTTACAGGGAAACATGAACTTGGAATTTTGAAAATATTAATATAATTAAAAATAAATAAACTCCTTGGTCTTTGGAACAAACAGTTCAATTTTTCCATCATGCTACAGTTACTAAAATAAACTAGCACTCCATCTGTGACAAATAACGATTTTAACCAAAATAGATAACAATATACAACTGAAAATATCCTCCAGAGGAATTAACACAGCAACTCGACAATTAAAGTAGAAGAATATGATTTTCCATTACACAGCTTCTTGTTCCAAGTGGGACTCGTGTAACCGCCCAACTTCATATTCAATTGTACACTTTACACCGTTAATGTATTCACTTTCATCAGGATCCATTAACCGTCGATCCTCGAATAACATTCGTGTTATATCACACATTCGTGGAACGGTGCACTTAGGTTGATGTGATCTGTGCATCCTGTAAAGTGTACGGAGCAGCTTAATGCGCGTATAGACATGCATGCCAGGAACGGTACAATAACGTAGCAAATAACTGCTTAACATTGGTGAAGAGGAAAGCTACAAGACCCAGGTTGATGTACTTGTGTTTTATCAGAGTACTCCAACCTGGAACCCTCCGCGTTGTGTGACCCTTGATCTCGTAATCGTACATGTTGCAAGGCCTCTTTCGTTTTATTAGATACCGCAACGTAGCAGAGATTTGATTGATAATATAATTTATTACGAAAGGCCATTGCATTCGCGTGTAATAAATTCTGTAGAACGATAACAATATTAGACCACAACCGACCATCCGTTTTGATAGCGAAACATCCAAGACGAATTGCTGTTTGAATAATTATCGCGCAATATATAATAACGCGTATTTTGATTTATATTCGAGAGTCAGAACCGTCTAATACAATTACTATTTTAATAAATTCTTTCTTCGCGGTGAATCTGCATCTATTAGCGTATTATAGTTTATGTTGTAACGGTTTCTAATGGAAGACAAGGGTATGTCGATTCGCGTGATGCTTGCAATTAATAACGTTAGGCGCACGAAAAAAAAAGGATGTTAATAGAATAAAGCACGTGACGTAACGACGAGGACTCTTTATGGTGTCGCGTGGGACGCAGAAAGTCGTTCTGACGTTTGTAAATGTCATCTTAATGGCATACATTTCTCGACTTAGACACGTCCACACGCAACGCGACATTCGTAACACGCGCGCGCACTTTGAATTCACGAGGTTTGTCGTGCGATTCGTACGCAAACGCGATTAAAAGCTTTAAAATTTTCGCAATACGCGAGGCTACAACGTTAAAACAAGGAATAACAGATTAGCCGCGGATTTAATGCGCCCGGAGTGGCTCGTAAATATTAATGCGAGATTATATTATACTTCGCGTATAAGAAAGACAATCTGAACTGTTTAACGATTCAATGACAGTTCTATGATGCTCAAGATGTAGACAGCGAATATTAACATACGATGAATCGCGCATTGTGCTACGCTGTTGAGCAAGAAGGCTCGATGAGTTTCAGTTACAAACGTTTCTAACAGAAAACTAAAGGTATCGTGGTTAGCATATGTCTCCTCGAACGATTAAACAAATGAGAAGATTTTTATATATCCAACTGTTGAAATAGACATGACTACATGAAAATTAAATTCTATTGCTGTTGTATACGTGTGATCGAAGTTTTATATCTGTTAAAAATACTACTTTCGATTGTCCAGACTGAAAATAATATTTATTTGCAACAGAAGAAAATTAATCCTTGGAAGAATATAGAATTTCCATGATTGGGGATTAAAAAATTTCTAAAAATTCGCGGGAACTGGACAGCGGTAGTTTTTTTTTTATTTTAGCGAGTGATTCCGCGCGCGTAACGTTGAAATATTAAAGTCTGGGATCATTGGCCCATTGGGATCGACGAGACGATTCAATCCGCTGAAAAAGACGAGGGGGTGAATCGAGTCGTCGCACACAATGAAGTCTGACTCCGTTGTCGTCGAGACAACGACGAAGACAGCTGCCAGAACGTAGCAACGTCCGCGACGAGACGGATGAGATCAGTTAAACCAAACTGCCTTCGTGACAAATCCTCCGTTTCCTCTGTCGGTTCGCGACTCCGTTTTACTGTCGTTGACGCAGTTGCGTGTACACTCGCACACGCACGTCCTGTCGCGTACCATCGCCGTAATTTCTATGTAGGACGGGCGGCTTTAGTGCGATTCCTCAGGATTTCCGTCGGCTACGTGGGTCCAGACTAGTCGGTAACAAAGCAGTGTTAATCTGAAGTCTCGTGTTCGTTCGAGAAATGTCTTCCAACCGCGTACAACGGTAGCAAACATTTATGAATGGGAGTAATTTAAACCACGAATGCAGCCAAAAGCGATGGGGCGACATATTCATTAATTTCAGTGAGAAATGGTTCCCCGAAATTTCATGCGTATCTTTAAAATGTCATAACTTCTGAACGGATTGGACGATTTTAATGTTTAAAAAGGCAAACGACGCGTATTTTACTGTAGAATATGCAGAAATTCTAAAAATATTCGAAAAATTGTTCCTTAACCCCCGTAAAGTGAGAAATACCCCATAGAAAAGATCTAATTTTCAAACAGCCATAATTCCTACAATAGTGAATATATTTCATTGAAATTTGGGGGGTAACTAGAGTTTATGAATACCTACAAAAAAGTATTAAACAAAATTTCCGTAGAACGTCAAACAAATTTATTAAAAATGAAAACCGAATCTTTAAGAAAAATCAACAGGGAGTAGGTACCTAAATTCTTTGACGAAAAAAAAAATTTCAAATCGTTCTAAAAAAATTATATTTAGTTGTGGGGGTCGATTACAATCATTTTTGTTGAATAGACATACGTCCGAAATCCTACTCACTTTCGAGAAACAAATTCAATAAGTGGACAAATTTTTCGACGAAATTAAAAAATTTCAAATCGTTCTAAAAAAATTATTTTTTGTTGCAAGGGTCAATTACATACATTTTTGGTGAATACACATACGTCTGAAATCCTACTCACTTTCGAGAAAAAAATTCAATAAGTGGACAAATTTTTCGACGAAATTAAAAAATTTCCAATCATTCTAAAAAAATTATTTTTAGTTGCAAGGGTCAATTATATACATTTTTGGTGAATACATATACGTCCGAAATCTGACTCACTTTCGAGGAAAAAATTCAATAAGTGGACAAATTTTTAGTCGAAATTAAAAAATTTCAATTCGTTTTAGAAAAATTATTTTTAGTTGCGGGGGTCAATTACATACATTTTTGGTGAATACACATACCCCCGAAATCCTACACAGTTCCGAGAAAAAAATTTCTTACCGAAAATATCATTTTAGGCCAGAAATGATTTCCCGAAATTTCACACGTATGTTTAAAAAATCATAACTCCTGAATGGATTAGAGGATTATAATAAAACCTTAATAATTAGTATCAATTTCCAAATCTTTCATTGATGAACAAGTATCGAAATAAGTAAGTTTGAGTTACGAGAAGTTTTGAGTTATCGATATTTATATGCAACGAAAAGTTTCTACACGGTTGTATAATGATGGTAATTTCAACAATGTACGGAAGCGTACTGAAAA